GAATATAATATACGTGTTTATACAGAAATATAACTGTAATTTACCAAACGAGAAGAAACAAACACAAAAATACCTTGAAAAAAATAACAAGAATAAGAAATACCAAACGAAAATACCAAATGAATAATGAAAAACTTGGCAAGTGTAACAGAATGAATAATAAGGGCGAATTCTTGTCGCCAATGTATTGAACAGGAAGATCAATGTTTTAACCTTCACAGGAGTTATTTAACATCTTCAGCAGAACACAGAACAAAGCACAGTTTATGTTAGGAAAAATTCTTCTTCGTTTCCAGTGTGTGTGTGTGTGTTTTAAATGGTTGTTTATTACTTGACTGTTAAACGAGGCATTATATTACACCACTTATCAATAATAATGCTATTTGGTAGCCTGTGTTTGTGGTTAATGATCATGTGGCACTTAACTACTAAAGAGGGTGTCGCTCTACCAGTCTGTGTGTGTGTGTGTGTGTGTGTGTGTGGCAAAAATTTAGACTAATATTTGAAGTTGGGGGATGTGTTTATGGTAAAAAAGTTGTTTATAACCTAACCTAACTAACTTTTGGCGATCAGAGAGAGAGAGAGAGAGAGAGAGAGAGAGAGAGAGAGAGAGAGAGAGAGAGAGAGAGAGCATACTCAGCTCTCACCTCTTCCTTCTGAATTACTTTGATTCACACACACACACACACACACACACACACACAAGTGTCTGGTTCAACAAGAAATATAAAACCAGTGTCCTCCTGAGTGGTGTAACGGAGGCCAGAAATCAATCTCCTCCCTCCCCCGTCACAACACCCACACCCTCCCTCCCCCACCACCACACCCACACCATCCCTCCCCCGTCAATACACCTACACCCTCCCTCCCCCACCACAACACCCACACCTTCCCTCTCCCAACACAACACCCACACCCTCACCTCCCCAACACCCACACCTTCCCTCCCCACCCAACACCCACACCCTCCCTCCCCCACCACAACAGCCACACCTTTCCTTTCCCAACACAACACCCACATGCTCCCTCCCCAACACAACACCCACACCTTCCCTCCCCACCACAACACCCACACCTTCCCTCCCCATCACAACACCCACACCCTCCTTCCCCCACCACAACACCCACACCTTCCTCCCCACCACAACACCCCACCCTCCCTCCCCCAACACCCACACCTTCTCTCCCCACCACAACACCCACACCTCCCTCTCCCAACACCCACACCTTCCCTCCCCCACCACAACACCCACACCCTCCCTCCCCACCACAACACCCTCCCTCCCCAACACCCACACCCTCCCTCCCCCAACACCCACACCCTCCCTCCCCACCACAACACCCACACCTTCCCTCCCCCACCACAACACCCACACCTTCCCTCCCCCACCACAACACCTGCACCTCCTCCCCAACACCCACACCTTCTTCCTCCCTCCCCACCACAACACCTCCCTCCCCAACACCCACACCTCCCTCCCCAACACCCACACCCTCCCTCCCCCAACACCCACACCTTCCCTCCCCACCCCACACCCTCCCTCCCCTCCACCACACAGTGCCCGGGTCAACGTGCACTATGCCAGTATTCATCGGTAGGGTACAGCATATTATCCAAGAAGGTCGTGGGGCTGTTATGAATTATTCTTAAGTTAAATATACATGTTGAATATATGAGCCAGTGTTTGTAGTGTGTCTACCTATTACCGGCCGCTCTATATACTTGTTTTATATTACCTTATAATATGGGAGAGAGAGAGAGAGAGAGAGAGAGAGAGAGAGAGAGAGAGAGAGAGAGAGAGAGAGAGAGAGAGAGAGAGAGAGAGAGAGATGTCTTAACGTAGAGAATATTATGTAAACATGTTTATGACATTGTTAAGCTCTTACGTAGATTTTGTGACGCTTAATATATACTGTATGAGTATACTGTATTTTATGGTACGTTCATCGTAAACCTTCCCCTTTGTCATGCTGTGAACAATGCACACCGTCCCCATGCCATGCACAGTGTACTGTACACCCCCACTTGCCATGCCATGCACAATGTACACCACCCCCCTGCCATGCCATGAACAAAATATGAGTAATATTTACATAGCAATATGTTTGTCAACGAACTGTACATACTTGGTCACTGTTGCGTCCATGCCAGAGACACATCACCAGGACAATGGTACCAGAAAAAAACAAAACTGAACGGAACACAAACTCAATACCACCACCCCCCCTTCCACCCCCCCGTTTACTCCACCTCTCCCTCCCTCCTACTCTTTCATCTCTTTCTTCCTCCCATCATTCTCCATCCTACCTCCTCCTTTTCTCCAATCCCAAGCTTTCTCTCTACCCGCCCCTCTCTCTCTCTCTCTCTCTTGCCCTTCCTTTGTTCACGCCCCACCCCCCCCACCCACCCTCCCCGGCATCCCACCATCAAACACTAGATCACATCACAAGTAGTATACAAGAGACTTAACGGTACTTCCTCATCATCAAAGCTTCGGACGCTAACAATTTTTTATTTTTTTTCACTGTTGTAGAATTTAATAATCGGAATATATCTGTACAGCAGTTAAAAATGAAGTCAGAACAAGTTGGATAAAGCAGTTTTATCCTTTTTTATCTCCAGTTAGTGATAAAGCGAAAGGGGAAAAAACGACACAGGGACGTTAAAAGCAGCGGGCCCAGTTAATGATTTAAGGTTAGACAGAGAGGCAGTGAGCAAGGACGAGGGGAAGGGAGCTGACTGGCTTACAACACGACTGGTCTTTGGTATAATCTTCTCGCAGTAAGATTAGTTTTGGTGAGTTGGACACGACAGGTTATAGAGTTGTGCTGTAATCTTCCTCGGGTTAACATTAGTTTTAGGGGCAGATGTATCATAGAGGTGTGAGTTAAGCTCTTCTAGGAGAATTATTATCATGCCGAGTGAGTGTGTCCCGGATGAAGAGTGATAACGCACGCGCTCCATCTGTTATCTTATAGTGGAATTATATTTTTTGTTATAATTACTTTTCGTTATGAGTGAACATTTTTTTTAGCCTGGAGTCTATTTATGTGTGATTTCACTTACCCCTTTGAGCACTGCCATCGGTCACCACGACACTTAAACCTTAGATAATTATTTCCTGGTAATTCATTTTTCAAGTTTATAATAGTGTGTGTGTGTGTGTGTGTGTGTGTGTGTGTGTGTGTGTGTGTGTGTGTGTGTGTGTGTGTGTGTCTGTGTGTGTGTGTAGTGGACGTCGTGTAAGCTGTACTAGAGTATGATGTATATATGTGAAATAAAGTAACGAACAATATAATATTATTTTAAAATTGGTTACTATAAGGAAAATAAACTTGATATATAAATTACGGTTAGCATGATGGAAATAAACTTGATATATAAATTACGGTTAGAATGATGGAAATAAACTTGATATATAAATTACGGTTAGAATGATGGAAATAAACTTAATATATAAATTACGGTTAGCATGATGGAAATAAACTTGATATATAAATTACGGTTAGCATGATGGAAGTAAACTTGGTATATAAATTACGGTTAGAATGATGGAAATAAACTTGATATATAAATTACGGTTAGCATGATAGAAGTAAACTTGATATATAAAGCAGAAAGAGTATTACTGAAAATAACAAAAACAGATTAAAATACATACGAGGTTAATATTGATTCTTGTAAGATACGGTGAGCGTCTCTGGCATGGGTGGAGGAGCATAAGGCAAGGAAAGAGAAGAGGTGAAACTCCTCCTAATTTCTCTCATCACACGAGGTGGTCAACACGTGTCAACACAATCATACGAAAAGTGATTTTGTTCTCGTGTTTTATTGTTACCCTTCATAACCAGTTCAGTATATCATCTAGTCTAAATATTATCAGGTGAATATTGCCTTGTATTCCCCTATTCACTATTTACTAATACTATTAACATGCACTTACAAAATAATAATAATAATAATAATAATAATAATAATAATAATAATAATAATAATAATAATAATAATAATAATAATAATAATAATAATAATAATAATAATCTACCATCTGTGTTCTGTCGATTTTTCTCACATGACTCGATAGTTTTCCTTGAATAACCATTAAAAAAAAGAAGAATATAACCTACTTTATATACTATTTGTTCTATAACCACAATTTGTTCTTTGTTAATATCACCATATAATAAAGTTCTTGAATATACTAGAATCAATATTTCTTTTCAATATAATTTTTCAATAATTTGATGCTGTTTGGAAATAAAATTCTTGATAGTTGAACTTTAATGATCCTCACCTCAGCTCTAGATGCACTGTACTGTACTGTACTTCACATGCCAAATACATGCAAGAATTAATTGTTTAACTCTCATTATATTTTCTAAGTTATTTTTTATTACTGGGGGAACTACAGCATCTATATAAGCTTCTACCAATGACGGGCATTAGTGTGTGTGTGTGTGTGTGTGTGTGTGTGTGTGTGTGTGTGTGTGTGTGTGTGTGTCACGCTAAATAGGGATCTTTGGGAAACAACGATTACACACACAATATTTTGTTTTTAGGAAGATTCAAATTTGTTTGTATATATGGACGCCCATAATACAAACTTTAAATGATCAGCAACATTACTAACCAAAAGTGACTAAATATAACCTCAATTGGGTATACAGTAGTTTGGTAACGTATTAGATGAAATAAAGCAAATATTTACCATTAAGTTATGGGAGGAAAAAGTTATTCCTCTTTGGATAGCAACGTCAATTAGGTTTTAAGTCTTAATAAGGTGATTATCCCTATTTAGCGTGATATATACTGTATGATCTATCTTGTTATAGCTTTAAGTGTCAATTGCTAGATACACTGAGCACCGATCACTTAGCTCCAGTAATTGTTAAGGGACAACTTTTCAAAATTAGGATAAATATAATTTTTATAAATAAATAAATATATAAATATAATATAAAAAAATACAAGCGCTTGCATAAAAATCTTTACTGCTTACGTCTTCGCAATTGCTTTTTTCCGTCGTCAGAGCAAGCTAGAATAAAAACAAACATTAACAATTAAGATTACATCACAGAGAAGATCAATTCAAGTTGTAAATTGTTAAGAAGATATTACAACAACACAAGCGTCGGCAGCTATACTAATAAACTAAAGAAAACGTCAACTTAAAGAAGAAAATAACAACGCCAGAACAAACACAAACGAACCATCAAGCTTAAAAAAAAAAACACAGACACTTCAGTGACATTATTATTACAGACCTGGAGAGGGAACTGACTCTGTAATGAGAGGCTCTTTGGGCCAGCCTCTGATCAATACTGAGGGGCTACGCTGGTGGTGACTGGTGACTGTGTACTATGGGCAATACTGAGGGGCTACACTGGTGGAAACTGGTGACTGTGTACTATGGGCAATACTGAGGGGCTACGCTGGTGGTGACTGGTGACTGTGTACTATGGGCAATACTGAGGGGCTACGCTGGTGGTGACTGGTGACTGTGTACTATGGGCAATACTGAGGGGCTACACTGGTGGTGACGGGTGACTGTGTACTATGGGCAATACTGAGGGGTTACACTGACTGGTGACTGTGTACCTATGGTCAATACTGTGGACCTAGACTGGTATAGATAGGGTGACGACTGGTGATTGTAAGCGTTTGATCAATACCTTTGGAACTAGACTGGTGACTATTCCTGATGTGTATAAATCACAATAACTGACTGACGAGTAGCATGAGGTCTATTGGCTTAGGAAAAACTACTTCGTATGGGAGAAGTTTGAGAATATTTTTACACATTTAAAAGACTAAACGCGGCTTCAGTTCACGTCAGCTATCATCGAATTGAAAACCCATCACTGCCCTTCCATATAAACAACCAATAATCCCATATAAAGGTGTCAGTTATAGACATGTAAGGTTATTGAGTATTTAAGAGAAAAAAATACACTCGTAGATTCACCTCACGTCGACTACAATCTGTTCTTGTTGAAGCGTCTGTTTATAGTATAGGGACACACAACCATACCTCTACCCTCTGTGATAGATAGTCCATATCTAAGGAGGTGCAGCTGACTACAAAACCCGTTTGCTGGTTCTATTTTTCTACAATCTGTTTTATGAAGATAATTTCCACCGTTTATACACACACGTTTACCTATTACCGAGAGGCATTTTGTTCTGATGTTTTGGCTGACATTTAAATTAAAATAATCTCTTTCAACTCAATTTATTATCCTGTTGGTGATTTTCCACATTTCAATCATATCTCCTCTGTCTTATTTTTTTTAAACACGACTTATTTATTTTATTTGCTTATCTTGTATGATTTACTTCTGAAACTAAGGATGAGGAGTTTCTAACCTGTCTATATTCTCCCCAGGAAAAGGTGACCAGAAGTGTACTGCACACCATTACAAAACCAATAGTATACTGTACACATATTTTATTTGTTATTGTACCCAAATTTGCTTGCCATCATTACTAACGAACTTTTGACTTTTTTACTTGTTTCTCTGGATTATCAGTAAATAAATATTGTAACTTTTTTTTGGTACAGTTTTTAATTAATGGTGTATCCAGTCCATGTGTGTTGTGGGTGTGTGTATCACCTACATCTACAAGCATAACCTTGAACTTATCTATTAAATAATAATAATATTAATAGCCGGTCTTTTGTTTCTCATAAACGCCAGTTCTTCTAAAGAATTCATTAGCGCTCGAAGCACTACAAACTCAAAGACTTGAGAATAAAAATAAATAATGTCACAAAAAGTGACAGTTTGACATCAATCGTTCATTTACCCTAAAGTTGTAATACTTCTTAAGCCCTGTAGTTCTCCACCACTGTACCCTGTTTAGGATCATAAGTTTTCAAATAAAGAAAAGGTTTTAAGTTGTTTCTTACAGGCCTCCACAAGAGTCAGCTGCTTCTTGGATGCAGGCAACCGACTTTACAATCTGGGTGCTGTATAAGAAAAGGATCAGGCAGCAAAAGAACATTCCTGTACTGCTCTAGGCTCTTAAGGTGTGAAGGATCATCACTTCAGAATATGTAGTCAGAGGAATTAGTAGGTTAGCCAAATACTTAGGCTCACCAAACATTAGTGGTTTAAAAGTCGTTAGACAGAGTTTGAACTCTATCCGAGCTTTAATTGGTAGCCAATGTAATTCAATCAAGAATGGGGTAGTGGGAGAGCAAAACTAAGCCTGGCAACCCTGTTTAACATTGTTGAAACTTTCTTCAGTAGATAATTAGGAAGGCAGCCTCACAAAGAGTTATAATTGTCACCACGAGACAAAATAAGTCAATATAATAGTATCACAGGATAGACAGGATAGTCTATCTCAAAACTGTTCAACGGCATTTATAGATTTCGAATATTATAGTTGCAATACTGGTATAGACTCTAAACAAAAATTGTCCCAAAACTGATCCCCGTGGTACTCCAAACAGCAAAAGGACCGGGTCTGAAATGGTTCCACCAACAATCACACACTGAGATCGTCCTGACAAATAAGACTCGAGCAGCAAGAGGTCAGTCTCATGGACACCAAACGACCAAAGATCCTGAAGCAACAGATGGTGATCCACTGTGTCAAAAGCTGCAGAGATCCAGCAAGACCAGAAAGAAGACTTTCCTGTGCAAATGTTTATTACCAAATATCATGTTAAATTTCATCTACAAAGTTTCTAACCATTCTGCTATTACCTGTATATCCCCTTGAACTTGTTTATATCTATTTCAGGACTTACTCTCTACCCTAGTTTTACATCACCTGCAAATTTACCTATTTTACCGGTCTCAGGAGCAGATCACTTACATATACACTGTACTGTAGGTAGTACTCTTGATTTGGCAGCTAGTCTCCCAAGAAGAACTCTATTAAAAGCGTTTTGAGATTCTAGATTCAAAATATTACATGTTTTCTTTTTAACACACACACACACACACACACACACACACACACCTGATTTAATAAACCCCCCAAAACAAGATAAACAGTTCAGTTGACACAGACAAACCATTAGCTGCCTCCCAGACACACAGACTGCGGCTGGAGGGTGTCAGTGTCTGGGTGAGGCGTCAGGTCACTAGCGGGGAGGTATGTAGGTCCAGAAACACGTCTCTCTCTAATTGTTGGCGTTGATGATTTCGTAATCCATCAGTTGGCTTTTGTTGATCCACCCTAACGTTCAGCTATACATATTTCCTCTGCTTTAACGTATACATGACGTCTGGCAACAGTTTTACCATGTAAGACGATGTTCAGGTGACGATATGGCGCCTAAGATCTTACGAGAAAAAAAAAGCTGTGTAATGTTTTCTCGGTGTTTAAGACTGCCCTAACTAACACACACACACACACACACACACACACACACACACACACACACACACACACACACACACCCTCATGAGGCTAAAATTCCTTAAATTCAAGGATAATAATGATGAGTGAGTGACATACGTGAGGGAAAACATTTTTATACGTCACCGGGAGAATCAAACACCATCATCACTATACGTTCCCCTCACAAAGTTAGTTATCACACGTGTTACCACTATATACGCTGGTAAATAATTAATATATAGAAAAGCTTTGTAATAAATCCCAATTATGTTGCGTAAAATGGTGCAAAAATTTAATAAAACTCTGAAATGGTTTTTATGATGAATGGAAATAAAATTGATTGAAATTTTATTGATAATGTTTATGTATGTCAGTTGTCGATAAATTCAGAATGTGCATAGAAACGTGTCTATATAAATCCTCTTTATATTACTTACATTAACATGGATATAATTTGTTCTCATTTTATAATTCCGGTTTCCAGTCTGTCAAGCACTGAGTCCTTAACGTCAAGCTTTTCTCTGTAAAAATAATCCGACGAACAGATAATAAACATAACATAGGTAGATAAATTTAAAGAAAAATAGGAAAAGGGGGAAGAAAGTAATAGCTAAAGAGAAGGAAGAGACACGGATTTAACAACCAACGACACATATTCCTGACGTGTGTGTGTGTGTGTGTGTGTGTGTGTGTGTGTGTGTGTGTGTGTGTGTGTGGTAATAGACTGTATACACTCACATTTATCATTTGTAAAATATACAAATGAGAAAAATCCATAACCGTGATCGTATGTAGAATGAGATACCCAGGTGAGTATGTACACAGGTGAGTATGTACACAGGTGACTAATGTACACAGGAGAGTAATGTACACAGGAGAGTAATGTACACAGGAGAGTAATGTACACGGGAGAGTAATGTATACAGGAGAGTAATGTACACAGAAGAGTAATGTAAACAGGAGAGTAATGTACACAGGAGAGTAATGTACACAGGAGAGTAATGTACACGGGAGAGTAATGTACACAGGTGAGTAATGTACACAGGAGAGTAATGTACACAGGAGAGTAATGTACACAGGTGAGTAATGTACACAGAAGAGTAATGTACACAGGAGAGTAATGTATACAGGAGAGTAATGTACACAGGAGAGTAATGTACACAGGAGAGTAATGTACACAGGAGAGTAATGTACACAGGAGAGTAATGTACACAGGAGAGTAATGTACACAGGTGAGTAATGTACACAGAAGAGTAATGTACACAGGAGAGTAATGTACACAGGAGAGTAATGTACACAGAAGAGTAATGTACACAGGAGAGTAATGTACACAGGAGAGTAATGTACACAGAGTAATGTACACAGAGTAATGTACACAGGAGAAATGTGTACACAGAGTAATGTGCACAGGGAGAAATGTGTGGGAAATGTCGCACACAGGAGGTAATGTACAGGGAGAGTAATGTACTGAGGAGAGTAATGTACACAGGAGAGTAATGTACACAGAGAGTAATGTACAGGGAAGTAATGGACACAGGAGAAGTAATGTACACAGAGTGATGTGTACAGAGTAATAACACACAGGTGATGTGCACAGAAGTAATATACACAGGTAAGTATGTACACAGAGAGTAATATTACAGAGTGAGTAATATTGCACACAGGTGAAGTAATGTA